TTGAAGTATATGGTCAACATCAATCTAACGAACATGAGAGAAAACTTGCATACATCTGCCTCAAGTAGAGCCCTCCTAATGTCTCTCATAGGTTCAATAATGTTCTCCTTGGACAACACCTCTGAAACAGAATAAACTTAGCTTGTTTTCTGAATTACTAGCAGATGCAAAACATGGTGGCAAGGTAACAATTCTGATGAACTGGGATTTTGAGAGATGACAAAATACATCATCGGTCAGTAATTTATGGGGAATGTTTCCTTAAATAAATCATGGTTGGATAAACCATGTTAGGGTTGGTCAGTCCATGTGCAACCATATGATATTAGTGTGGCAGTTTTGAAAATTTTAAACAAGAGGTTCTGGATATAACTATGAACTACCTATAACAATGTCATCATGATATTGGTTGGTTCACTTGTGAAATGGACTAGTTTGAAACATCAAGCAAGAAAGGCCTTAGACCCCCCCCCCCCTCCACCACAAAATAAATATTGGGTATGACAACAACAATGCATTGACTATGTTAGAAACCTAAGTTACATAGATATTGTTAATACTCCCTCTGTTCCCAAATAAAATTCTCACCTTCCTTTTTCATCAGTTCCAAAACAAACTTTTCACTTCTTTTCTTTCCATAAAAGGAAATGAATATGTGGCAAATAACATTTCTCTCTCCTCTAAACAAATTCAGTCCACACTTTTTACTTTTTAACAATTTTCTTGAACTCCGTCAAATCAAACAAGGGCTTCTATCTAGGGAGGGAGTATTATTCTTTGTGGAATGAAAATTTTAGGGACGGGGTTCGGCGGAGCCCCAATCTATAATACATTCTGGTACCGAGGAAGAGCCTAGAAGGTCTTTTAGGGTTCCATTGAGCTCAACCATTAACAAGAAAGACCTTCCTAAATTACAATTTAAACATGATTATCATCCACACAAGCCTTGAACAGCAATATGCCAATACCAATAAGGAAAATTCAGAAATAAAGACGCATTATCCTCGACAAAAACACAGCATATGAGCTTTGAACTGACATACAAAGATACCTTCCCCTCTAAGCTTGTTCCAGGCGGCTTCAAGTCCGGTGGTGAGCTGCCCGAACATTTCAGATCTGATCAAACTACCCGTTTCTCTTCGGGAATTCGGCCATTTTTTAACATTTATCACCTTCCACACCTCTTTCTGCCACAAGATATAAGGAAAAAAAACAGATAAAACTACCCTTCAACTTAAAAATTAAAAATAATTGCAATAATAAAAGTATAATTCAAATAAAAGGCTGGGAAAATCAAAGAAATGGAAGGATTTTAGTTGGAATTACGGAGAATGAGTTTCCATAAAAGGAAGAGACGGTGCGGGTGGAATGGGTCGTCCAAGCAGAAGAAAGAGAAGGAGAAGAAGGAAATGAGGTGTTGGGATTTGAGATTGAAATTTTGGGGAGGGAGAAATAGCGGGAAGCAACGGTCGGGGAGAAAGTTTCCATGGGAACTTTCCTGCTCTACTGTTTCTCCCTCTAAGTTGCAGAGTTTCGGGCTGAGTTGACTCGTTTTAGATTCTGCATAAGTGTCTTCTTTGAAGGTATACTGAGAGTGCTTGTTTGGAATCGTCTTATCTTATCCCTAACTTGGATTGGAAATAATGTGACACAATATGTTATGATGTTACACTGTCACACTTACCATATTGTAACTGTCACACTGTCACCGTCACACTATCATCTGTCACCTCCGATGTGTCATCGTGGGGACGATTGACACACCTACCATATTGTAAGTGTAACGCCCCAAAAATAGGCCTATCAGAGTTAATTAATTTATAATTAATTAATTACTGAGAAGGACCCAAAAATAAGTAAATTCTAAAGTTCGTCAATAAATAATGAAAATCATATCATTATGTAGAGTTTGACTGTCTGATTCCAACGGTTCAATCGGATTTCAATTTGGAGAAAGTTGGAACAAAAAGTGCACCCCAACTGGGACCAAAATTAGTCCCAATCAGGGACTACACACCAAATGGCGCCCTGTTCAATTACGCCGATTCCAAATCGTCGCTCAATCACGGAAGCTACAAACCTGTGTCTTCTTCTTCTCCACTGGCCTATTTAAGCACAACTCAACTCTCTCAATTCTTCACCAAAAACATTCATTCTTCCTCCTATATTGTTCCTTGCTGAGAGTAGAGTGCAGTGGTGCTGTCATCTTTGTGTGAGGTCGCCGGAGCAGTGAGATAGAGTCGCCGGAAGGTTCGCCGGAAAATCTTCAAAACCTCCCCTACGCTTCAAGGTAAGCCCGTAGATATATCTAAAGATTAGAATGTTCATATAGGTTGTTTTTACGTTCATAAATGGTCATTTGGTTGAGTTTTGTGTTTGACATGTTTGAAGAACCAAGAATCATAAACCTTGAATTTGATGTTAAAAATATGTTTTAATGATTCTAAAATGATCTATGAACCTTGGAGAACATTTCTATATAGTTTAATTGAAGTTT